GCGGGAGTAGGAGAGGCTGATCATGCGGACACCTGTGGGGGAGGAACGAGAGAGGAGCCCCCCAGGACACGCTGAGCCCACGGCACCGGCCGTGACAGGGTCCCCAGACACCGCAGCGCCAGTCCCCTACCCGGCTTGATGACGTTGTGCCTCAGCCGAAGGTGTAGGTGCCATCAGCCTGGAACTTGTCCCCAAACTGATCAAGGACTTGGTTAAACTTGGCCAGGTTTCCAGTCCTGACAGCTGGAGGGGAGAACGTGTGAATTGGGGACAGAGTGAGGGCCGGGGAGGGGTGGGGACAGCGAGGCGGGGGTGACTCCCAGACCTGCCATCCCCTCCTCTTCAGAGCTGCCACCTCCTCTCCACACGGAGCCTGCAGCTGAGTCCCACCGAGGGGAGAGGAGGGAAACCCCCACTGCTCCCCCTGCCAGGGCAGGGGACGTTGTGACAGGACAGCAGAGCCGAGCAGGAGCAGCCTGTCCTACCCTGAGTCAGGAGGAAGTAGGGCATGAGCGACCGCTTGAGGGAGGGTTGTCTGAACTGAAGCCTGTCTGGGATCTCCCCGAGCAGCAGTTCCACCACGATGAGCAGCTTGTGCACCTTGAGCAGAAGGAAATCATTCAGTCCCCGGAGGGATCCAACCCCAGGGTAGATCCCCTGGTGACCCAGGAGGTACCAGACCCCACACAACTGTCCCATCCTCACTCACTGTCTGCTTGAAGCCGACGGCCGTGTGCTGCGGCGCCTTCCGCAGGGCGTTGGTCATCGTCCTCCGTGCCTCCGAGTACTCCAGCTGGATGGCCTTGATGCGCCCTGTGCCCACACAGGGGGGGCAGAGGGCGTTTGGGAAAAGCCACTGAGTGAATCCAACCAAACCCACCCGGATGGAGCTTCAAATCCTGCCTGGAAGCCCCATCTCCAGCTGCTCAAACTGGTTTATCTGGGGAAGCAGAGCCCTCGATCTCGGGTGCAGCTCGAGGTGCCGGCGCCGCGGGGACGCTCTGTGTCTCACCTGTGTAGTAGAGGTACCGAGCCCACTCGTTGTTATTGGCCTGCTCAGGAAACACAGACTTGGAGACAAGCTTTTCTGCTTGGTCATAGAGGTTGTAGTGGAGATAATTCCTCAGCAGCAGGTTCAGGAGGTTGCCCTGCCCGTCCGCATCGTGCCGCAGCGTGGCCGTCCGTAGCCGGGCGTGCAGGAAGCTGCAGGAAAGGGAGGTGGAAAGAATCCAGGGAGGTGGAAAAGAGGAGGAGGAGGTCAGGGAGGTGGAAAAGAATCAGCCCTGCCTCACTGGGGTGTGTGGGACCAAGCCCAGGGAGAGCCAGGGCCCAGGAGCCACCCTACCTCCTGACCACGTCGAGTTTATTCAGGAACTCGTAGATGCGGGAGTGGTAATAGTAACATTTTGCCACCACCAGGTCAAGGGCTCGGCGGTTCTGGGAGCTGATCTTCTGCATCAGGTCATCAGACACCTTCTGAGCCTGCAGGAGGGGAAGGGAGGTCAGAGCAGAGGAACTGCTGCCTGGTCAGAGCAGAGGAACACTGCTGCCTGGGAAGGGCAGAGGAACTGCTGCCTGGGAAGAGCAGAGAGATGGGCAGGGCTGTGGGATTGAGCCCCTGGGGCTGCCTCTGGGCTGAAACAAAGGTCCCTGGGACTCTGCAGAGCTCACCTGGCGCAGGAGCTCCACACAAAGAGCTCAGCTTCAGAGTCAGCAGCTGGGGGAATCTCACCTCTGGGTATCGCTTGCTGTTCATCAGGTAGATGACAAGAAGCAGCTGCAGGTAGGTCTCCACTTCTGGCAAGAGAGGGGCTGAGGCCGCCTTCCCCGTCCGCGGGCGAAACTGCAGCTCCGCTTCCGTGTCCATGGACTGGGGGGAGAGAGACCCCAGTGCTGGGCCCACGTCCCACCAGTGTCACTGACGCCCACCCAGCGCTCCCCAGTCTGTCCCAGCCTGTCCCCAGTGCTTCAGGGGTGACACAGGAGCCAGCCCAAGCTGCTGGCACTACAGTCCCATGCCTGCCAAGAGCCACAGTGACTCATCTCATCTGTGCTCCTGAGCAGCTGGGTTGTGTGTCCCAGGTGTCCCCAAGCCCTCGCAGCTCCCAGCACTCTCCTGCCCCACACTCCTGAGGCTCCTCGGTGTGGCAAAGGTGTCCCAGTCACCTCTCCCCGTCCCCCGCCGCCGTACCTCCTCCAGGAAGCCGAGGAGGAAGTCCCGTGTGGTGCTGTTGGAGGTGAAGAAGCCATTGATGGCTTTGTGAAGCACATTGGAGTTGAGGCGGCGCGAGGTGGAGGGCAGAGCCCGCAGGGCTCGCAGGACGTAGCGTGGCTCCTTCCCTGACACGGCCTTCTCCAGCTGCTTCACGTGCTCTTTGATATCTGCGGGGGCACAAGGGAGGTGCTGTCACTCTGCAGCTTGTGGAGGAGCCACCGGAGAGAAGCTGGTGCCAGGATCCCTCCAGGTTCCCCCTCCTGCTGTGGTTGGGTCCCTCTGTCCCCTCGTGGCACCGGGACTGTGTGGCCTCAGTGTGACCTGACCCCTCCTGCAGTCCCTTCCCCATCA